CCCCAAAACCCCAAAACCCCAAAACCCCGTGAGACTATTTTAAGAGAATTTAATAAATTAAGGGAAATTAATAAAATCAGACATTAAATTTTTCTAGAACACTTTGCCTGAGATCTGGAGGAAATTATATTATGAATTCTTCCCATTATCCTCCCACTACAGTTTTGAAATTAAAAAGCAGCCCCTGGAAAATATTGAATAAATTCTGAGGAGGTTCTTTATAATTCACGAAGCTATGACAAAGATATGGAAGAGCATTCATTGCTGCCTAAGGATTGTGCGGAATCATATTACAAATACCTCTAAATGCACTTTCTTTTTCAGGACCATTCTTTATTATTCTCATAGATATACACCACTATTTCAATACTCTATCCAGATAGACAGATAGGTCTTTAGGTTCAAGCAATCCTAATCTGCCAAATGTGACACTTAGGTTTTAAGCAAGGGATTTATTTAACTATAAAAGATTTAAAAAATGCAAAATTATCTTACTCTTTAGGCACTTAAGATTTTCACAACTTTCTCTGCTATAACTGGTATAAAGGGCCTTATTAAATCCCCATTCCTACTATCAATCGCTTAACCTATAAACCAACATGCGTTATTGCACTAAGCTAAATTGCTATTATCTCCCTCAGGACCCTCTCCAAAATTTATATTTTCAATTGCAATTTAGATGAATTAAGGCAGGTAGACAATGTAAAAGTCAGGTAAGTGCTTTTGAGAGTCGCCTAATAAAGCGAATACATACTACTTTATTAGATTATTCTTAAATGTCAGGAGTTCATATAAAATTGCCAAGAAATTAGATTAAACCAAAAGCTTTTGCGAGTTTTCTCCAATTGCGCTAAATAGAAAACTTATTATATCAATAGGCCCTACAAAAAATTCTGTTTCAGTATAAATTGCATCAGGGTCTGCCTTTACTTTTTATATGAATTTTTCTATGATTTTAAGACATCTATCAAAAATTGGTTTGCTGAATGGTTCACTCAATGGTCCGAGAGCTTAAATCACAGATTCAAAGCATTCAAGTAATGGGAATATTAACCTACTTTCGTCATCACAATCCATATACATTTTATTCAAAACTTGCATTAGTTAAGATACAATGCTTTCGTTTCTGATGTTTTCTCCTAAAGATAAAGCCAACTAACCAATGGTATCTAATAGTAGCACCAGAGCATTGCCTTTGTATATATTAATAACCATTTTAAAAGCATCTAACGGTTTCTATATATGTTGAAGTATTCTATCTGGAGCTTATTCGCAAGCAACAGCTAAAGAAGCACATGCAGCTTCTTAAACATTTTAATCTTAATCGATCATCTTTTGGCATAAGATGTTTATATAAATCTCAATGTACTCATCATTTTTTGCAATCCAATCAGTAAATTTAGAAAGAGTCCACAATGTTGTAGATCTCAGCAATTCATTATTAGAGTTGAGTGTTTCTAATAAGTAAGGCACCAAATTATCTAGATGTATTTTAATTACACCATATGCACCATCTGAGTCACTAATGGCACCCAGAACTAAAATTGCAGGCTCAATTTAATCAGGATTTTAGCTTTTCATTGCTGTTTCAAAGTATGGAAGTAAAATGAAGAATGTATCATCGTGATAGGTCTTTGAATACCTTTCAATTGTAAATGCTGATGATTTCCTCAATGTTGTGAAATATTCATCATCATCAATCTCATAATCTTCTTCATTATTGTTATCACTAATTCTTTAAGACTCCTTATTGAAGTTTTTTCTATCGTATTCTACATCTCCATCCTTTGATGGCATAATTGCCATTCTATCATGATCTGTAAATTTGCAACACTCAAACAATGCCACTAGCAATACAGGCAATTTTGTGAAGATTTTCTTAATCTTTTGCTCTTCCTCTTAAGGAGTATTGCACTTCTGAGAAACAATTCCAGACCAAAACTCAGTTGCTGCTAAAGCAATTTTCTAATCTTTTTCTCTTAGTGCATTGATCATTAGCTCACTTACTTGATCAAATATTGACATTATTATTTCATTTTTCTATCCCTAAATAACATTCAATCCCTAAATGATCCTCCATCTAACCTAAGTTGATTAATCAAATTGCATTGTTAGTAAGTGCTTTGCATAAGACTCTTAATGCTCACACACAACAGCAGACTATGTCATCATTAATAAATTCACAATTAGAATAGAATGCTCTTTAACATGTGCTGTCTAGTTTTAATCTAGTAATCTGAAAATGTTAGGTATCATGTTTTATATTTCTTGGCAGTAATCCTCATTTTCAAATAATTAAGAACAGTCCTCAACAATTATTGAGATCGCTTGAATTGAATTCTCAACAATTGTTTAATCCTGGCTAGTTAGATTTTGAGTAAAGAAACTAAGAAGCTCTGGCCAAATGTGAAAGCCTCCTTTAACTACTAGGATGGACATTACACTGCTTACAGTTTTTCTGACAGTATATTCAGGATCATAAAATGCCACTAGCAATCTGTCTTTTACATAATTAATGGTATCCATTGGAATTCTAGCAAAGTTTTTCTCTATTTAACTTTTAAGAGTTAATCCCACTATTTATCTAATTTCAGGCTTCACTCCATCTGCTCCATTAAGCCACAAAATAAAAGCAAGGTATTTACAATACATATCGTTCTGACTCAGTTGCTCTTGTCTCTAAAGTTTTAGTATTAAAAGTTTCATACCTGATAGATCTGACTTTGAACTTGAGAATTTCCAGTCTAAGCTTACTCAAATAGTTGCACAAGCTCCTATATTTCTTCAACACTAGGCTAGAAAACTGACAATTATTGCTACTTTTGCATTATCTTAATCTTTAATTATATTAAATATGGAATTCTCAAATATATTTACATTAATGAATATGCGGGGTTTTGGGGTTTTGGGGTTTTGGGG